ATTGCCCCGATATTCTCACACTTAATAACCACACCTGCAGAAGAAATTGAAAACCTTTCCTGGTGCTCAGGCAGGGCTGCACCCCCACAGAAGTGGCTCAGCCAGGCTTCCTCCTGGCACTCAGAGCCCAATGACTTCTTCATCAGGCGATGTGGGGAGTGAGACCACGTGACTATGTACTGGCTCCTCATTTAGTCTGCACAGGAACCCAGAAACCAAATTTCCATCTGCCCTGGATGCTCCCTGTCTTCAAGAGGATATCTGGCTTTCAGAAGTGCTGGCAGCACAGTCGTTGAGTGCTCAGCTGCTAACCAAAAGATTGAGGATTCTAACTCGCCAGGCACTCTGGAGGAGAAAAACATGGCAGTCTGCTTTCATAAAGATCACAGCCTTGGAAACCCTTTGGGAGCAGTTCTACTCTGTCCTTTAGGGTCGCTGTGAGTTGGAATTGATTTGATAGCAGTGGGTATCTAGTTTCCCCTCCTGTATCTCAGGATTGATTGGGTGTGTGTACTACAGTAGGATCTCTGGTGGTGTAGTGACTAAAGCATTTGACTGCTAACCAGAAGGCTGGCGGTTCAAACCCACCAGCCACTCGGAAGGAAGATGGGACAACCTACTTCTGTAGTGATACTGCCTCAGAAACCCAAGGAGGGGTTGCTATGAGTCAGATCCAACTCTACAGCAGTGAGTTTGGTTTTGGTTTGGTGTACAACAGGGGTACATAACAGCCAATGATCCAAGTAAACATCTATCCGCACACATCCCTCTTTTCTGAAAGCAAGTTGTGCACCCCTAAACTTTCACAGACATAAAACTCTGATTACATGGTATTCTCCTATTTTCCCAAGGAACACTTTTTTTTAACCCTATTATCAATTTAGATATAAAATCCTTTAATGGTGCAGGTGGACTAGTCAAATTCCTGCTTACAACATGTGATTTATTAATATAGTTACACATTCATATTTAAGGTTATAGAGATATTTTAATTTAGAAATATTGCTCTTTTCTCTACATAGCATTTTATAACACAAATCTACTCAAAATTGAGGTTTATGAAACTGCTGCTTTTATAGCGTCAGAAATACCAGATATAAGCAAGGAATACCCTAATATCTGCAGTGTCTGTCTTGGTCATCACCTGCTTCATTTTTGAGTCACGTGTTGGGTTTGTCAGAGCATAGTCATCACTGTCATCCACATTCATGGACATACAGTCCTGTTTGATCTGTGCCTGATGCTCTCACTGAATATTCCTTGAAAATTTTTGTGACATGACTGTGTTAGGACATTAGGCTTTTAATTTATTCACCCTGTTTTTGTGCACTCAACTCCAGGTATAAGCCCTTGTTGTTTGTTGCCATCAAGTCAGCTATTATAAGCAAACATTTGACTAGTACAACAGAATGAAACATTGCCCAGTCTTGTACCATCTTCCAGTTGTTGGTATGCTCTAGTACATATTTGCGGTCACTGTGTATTTTGCCCTATGTTGGGCAATATTCTGTTGTGATCCATAAGCTTTTCAATGGTTAATTTTCAGAAGAAGATGACTAGGCCTTTCTTCCTAGTCTGTTTTAGTGTGGAAGCTCCACTGAAACCTGTCCACCATGATGAGCCTGCTATTATATGAAATACTGATGGCATAGCTTCCAGAATCATAGCAACACATTGACAGACGGGTATTAGATTAACTACTTATCAGATTGCATTTGCAAGTGGTTTTCAAAAATGTCTGAAGTCCTCCCTTATGTGTGACTGTAAAATCATCTCCTGGAAAAGACACTCCTCTTTTAAGGCTCAGGTATAGCATGGATCATGAGGATGGCACAGAACCGGGCAGTGTTTCGATCTGTTGTACATAAGATTGCTGTGAGTCGGACACAACTTCACGGCACCTAACAACAATTTTAAGGTTAGCTTGACTTTCAAAGCAGTACTTTGACCACAAAATAATTGAGGGTGCCCCTTGGCCCTTCCCCCAATCCGCAAAAGGCTTTGTTCTGACTGAAATATAAGGCAACTTATTCTTTTCCAAGTGTAACTGTGAGGAAAGGCCCTTGTCTTATATTTTAACACACCTGTGCAGTGGTTAACCCATCCGGCTGCTAACCCAAAGGTCAGTGGTTCAAAGCCACCAGCTGCTCTGTGGGAGAATGATGAAGCAGTCTGTTTCTGTAAAGATTTTCAGCTCTGGAAACACTGTGGAGCAGTTCTACTCTGTCCTATAGGATCACTATGAGTGGGGATCAACTTGATGGCAGCGCATTTGGTTTTGGTTTGACCATCTGAATATAAACTCAACACCCAGTGTTTGATATCTCAGTCACACATATTTTCATATAGTCAACTACTTAATAGGAAAATAAAGGAGCTTTTTGCACTGAACACAGGGTACTGGGAAGAAATTCTTGGTTAGTCAGAGATGTTCAGCTCTGTCTATCCATTGCAGCCTGCTAGAGAACTCTAAAAACACTCATGTCTGCACCCCCTCCACAAATTATGAATGCATTGGTGTGGGACATCAGGATTTCTTACAGCTGTCCAGGTAATTCCAGTGCCCAGGTTTACTTGAGAATCATTGCTCCCAGCCAGCAGCTGGCTCCCTCCAAGGTGCCCCCTAGGAGGAAGTTTGTGTTGCTGTAACACCTATGAGAAGTTAAAGGTCTCTCTGTTGGTGAGAAACCTGTTCGTGTGACCTTATTCCTCAGCCTCAGCAATCCTCAAACTTCAGTGTCCCCAGATACAAACTGCTGAGGTCTGGGAGGGAGCCCAGAGGTCTGCATTTTTAACACATAATTAATTCTCAAGGCTGAGCAGCCCTTGAGGTGTGTATCCAAGTTCAGATGCATGGAGCAGGTGCTGCAGCCTTCCCTGACAATAGAGAGCACTTTCTGGTTGGACCCACAGAGAAGCCACTTCTTGGTTTTCAAACCCGTTGTGATTTGAAAAGACTAGAGCCCCTCTAACGAAACCAGTTGCTGTTGCATCAGCTCTGAACTCATGTGTGTCAGGGTAGAACTGTGCTACATAAGGTTTTCAATGGCTTATTATTTGGAAATAGATCACCAGGCATTTCTTCTGAGGTACGTCTGGGTGGACTCAAACTTCCAACCTTTTGGTTAGCAGCCAAGCACTTTAACTACTTGCACCAGCCAAGGACTCCACCATTCCCTCTGATCCCCCTTTATTCTTCTAAAGTGAAAAAATTACAGTCAGAGCAGCTTGTCAGAGCAGAAAACAGATGAATTCACCTAATACTCAAAAGTCCCTTCAAGAGCAGGAGGCACCTCCTGGGCACTGATGGTAACATCATTGTTCATCTAATGTGGAGTGTTAAGGGACTCCCTCACAGCCAAGGGAAGGCCTGGAGAGGAGGAGATAGGGATGCCCATCATCTGGACAGCACCTGGCATCCTCACCACATGTGGCCTCCTTGAGCACAGGACTCCTCCCCAAAACTTCCAGGCCCCACTCCCCTTCCACCACAAGAAGCCTCCATTATTAGCTCCAGCTGGGGCCCATTGCCCTGCCTGTGCTTTATTAAACTTTTGCAGAGTGCTTTCAGAACCCTGTAAATCATAGTCATGTGGGTTCTCAGAGACACTCAACAGAGAAGGTGCACATGTGGACCTGGCCCTCCAGCTGGGAAAAGCCCAACTTAAAGGAAAAATGGTACCAGTGGCTCCCAGGAGAATAGGCAGGGGCCTGAGATGTTCCAGAGCAGGATTAGAGGGAGGTGCTGGATACCTGGCAGGTTCTACTGTGAAATACTTTAAAATAGGTGCAGGAGGGAGAACAGAACAACATACTAGTCTTACCAGGTCTACTTAAGGAAATTTGGAATTATCTGCTAAACGACCTTGATTTTCATTTGGGCAAACACTGCCTACTCATTCTGGGTTGTACTGTAAGTATTCAAGATGGCACCAAGTAATGACTTGGCATCTAAATGAAAAATAGTTAAAGAAGTTGCCATCAAGTCAACCTTGCCTTCTGGTGACTCCATGTGTGTCAGAGTAGAACTATGCTCCATGGAATTATCAATGCCTGTGATCTTTAGGTAGTAAATCACCAGGACTTTCTTCCAAGGTTCCTCTGGGTGGATTCAAACCACCAACTTTTTGGTTAGCAGCACAGTGCTTAACCATTTGCTTTGCCCAGAGATTTCCTATAAATTAAAATGGTTAGTTGCATGACTCTGTTATACAAGAAAAGTTGCATTTTTTGTTTTCTTTACTTAATTCTGAGTCTCCCATGCTGTAGGTCATGGGAAACTCAGAGCCAGTCTCTACACCCAGGATTGTGCAAATGCCCAGTCTTACCATGAAAACTGGGGAGACGGGTACAACAAAACCACCCTGCCCATTACTTTGGGAATGTTGAAGTCTCCTTTCTTCTTGGAGCAGGAGTGAAAGGCTTAGGAGGTGAAATCTACAGGCAACTAGCGCAAATTAATATCCTGGCAGTTACAGTAAAACTTGGAAAAGCTGGAATCTGTGCAAGGTACAAACCCATCAGAGAAAGGAAAACTCAAATATTTTCCACTAAAACAAGCGATAGGAAAGTGGTAAGACTATACCCTGTCAAAGGAAGAAAATTTATGAGACCTGGGAAAACAAGGCAGTACCATCAAGTTCCAGCTCTCACAAGTTTCACCATATCTTGAAATAGTTTTTGGGCAATGGGTAAGCTGCCAAGTGCTCTAAACCAAAAAAAAAAAAAAAAAAACTCACTGCTGTTGAGTAGGTTCCCACTCATAGTGACCTCATTAGGATTTCCAAGGCAGTAAATCTTTATAGAAGTAGACTGTCTCATCTTCCTTCTGCAGAGCAGCTGGTGGATTTGAACTGCCAACCTTCTGGTTAGCAGTTAAATGCCTTAGGCACCATGCCACCAGAGCTCCTAGCCAAACATTCTAGCCTGGAAGCACCAGGGACAAACAGGTGGGACAGCCACCCAGTGAAACATCCTGTTCAGTCCTCCTGTCTCCGCAGTGTTCCTCGACCTGCGGGAAGGGCCTGCAGTCCCGTGTGGTGCAGTGCATGCACAAGATCACTGGGCGCCATGGCAGCGAGTGCCCCACCCTCTCCAAGCCCGCTGCCTACAGACAATGCCACCAGGAGGCCTGTAACGACAAGATCAACGTGAATACCATCACCTCTCCACGCCTTGGTGAGTGCCTCTGCCACCTCCTCCTGGGGATGGGAGGGGGTGCCCCCTGCTAGCCATGAAGTTATATAAGCCAGAAAGGCCCTCTTGGTCTTATTTGAGCCAGCGAGACCTGTGTTCATCAGTTCCATAGGTAAGAGTTTTCAGAGGTGGAGTTTCATTCTTTGTCATGGGAAAGACATTTGTTCACTACAGTCACAAACACAATACCTTGAGTGCCCCCACAAACCCCTTCTGTCAACAACTGAGGAACATGTGAGAATTTCCATAAGCCTTTTAGGGTTCCTGTGAGAGGGAAGAGCAGAGGGGCCTGCTTCTTTCTGGGCATGAAAATAGGAGCTCTCGTAGCATAGTTCCTAAGGCACTTGACTGCTAACCAGAAGGGTGGCAGTTCAAACCCACCAGCCACTCCTCAGAAGGAAGGTTGGGCAATCTACCTCTGTAGTGATACTGCCTCAGAAACACAAGGAGGGGTTGCTGTGAGTAGGGGCCAACTCAATGGCACATAACAACAACAATAACATTCATGAAATCTTGATGATACCTACATGAGTTAATTTAGGCTGATGCTTGAGAAGGAGTCAGACAGGTTGAATAGTTCAAAACATTTCAGTTTGTCAGGGAGCTGCTGTGTGAGCAGTTGGGCCCTGAGTACACCTGTCAGGGTGTACTAGTCTATGCTGTGGGCCAGTGGTGGCATGACAAGGAGAAGAGGAACATTTAATTAATGTTGTTGTTATTATGTGCCATTGAGTTAGACCTGACTCATAGTGACCTCTCCTTGGATTTCTGAGGCAGAATCACTATGGAAGTAGATTGCCCAACCTTCCTTCTGAGGAGCGGCTGGTGGGTTTGAACCGTCAGCCTTCTGGTTAGCAGTCAAGTGTTTTAGGCACTACACTGAGTACCGATCTCTTATTTCCTTTTAGCTAAGTTTCTGCTTTTCCAAACAGAAATCCTTGGGGACTATTTTCCCACCAAAAGCCCATTTTCCTAACACAGCAATTACATGAAATAAGGTGGTTTCTAAGCAGCTTTGTAGGGCAGGGGTACTTTGGAGTTGCAGAGGTGTTCCTGTGGCTTTTGCAAGCACAAGCCTCCCAGGTCTCATGAAGAGCCTTTAGCTGGGGGTCTTCTCTCCTGATGACCAGGATGCTGAAGGAGATTCAAGCCATCTGCCCATGCTGACCCCTGTGCTTTCACTATGTTCTATAAATGCCAATTGTTATGATGTTCTTGGCCACAAATAACAGAAAGTGCCACTTAGCTTAGAAGCAATGAGACCCAGTGCCCTGGCCCCCAGTGAGGCCAACAGACCATTAAATCAGTCCCAGTGATTAGTTTAGACACAGGGCTATGTTCCCTATAGCAAGCTAACTGCCTCCTCAATTCCTCTGGCAGGAGGCATGATTTCACCTGCTTTGGCAATGCTTTAGCACACACAGCAGGTGAGGGGGATTCCCTAGTAGGCCTCAGCCTGAAAGCCACCCATCTCTCTGCAGTGGTTCCATGAAGGGCCGCAGATGTTTCTGATGCCCCCAGGCCACCCATAACCTGTGGGCTTTCTCTCCCCACTGTCCCCTAGCTGCCCTGACCTATAAATGCACACGCGACCAATGGACAGTGTATTGCCGGGTCATCCGGGAGAAGAACCTCTGCCAGGACATGAGGTGGTACCAGCGCTGCTGCCAGACTTGCAGGGACTTCTATGCCAGCAGGATGCGCCCACCACAGCAGCCACAGTCCAGCTCATGAGGCATGGCCCAGCCATGCTGCAACGCCTGATACAAGGTCTGAGGCACAGTGCCCAGCGGGTCCCGGCAACATGGCTTGGTGGAAGCCCACCTACCCACCCATTCAAGCATACACCAGCCCTGTAGCCAGTCCTCCCCCAGCACACCGCACCCACCCACAGGCTGTCTCAACAATCCCACTACATAGAACTTTAGAGTGGACTTGACATTTGCCATTAATGCTTTGTAATTAATATATTATTAATGGCCACTGGATGGCTGTCTACAGTAAGAAAAAAATAGGCAAGAGTCACAGAGAATTAGAGTTTCTAAGGTTCTGTGTACCTGATAGGGGAACACTTCTGGAAAACAGTGGTGGACAAAGAGAGACGTCATGTAGGTCTTCCATCTTGGCTGTGCTTTAGACATTTGAATTCCCAGTGCTTGATGTACCATGGGGGAATGACCCCTAAATGAGCCATCCTATGTTCCAAAAGGTTTTATTCAGATGGAAATATCCATGTCAGCCAGCCTCCGCTAGAAGCTTCTCTGGAGGAGCCAACACTCCTCATCTACCTTCCTGATCACACAAGAATCAGGACTTTGCCTCTCTACCCATCTCTGAAAACATATTTCTTCTTTAAGTCCTGGGTCTTGCCTTGAAGTCCTTGAGAGTTTGAATCTGTGTAAGCCAATAAGACCAGTGCCATGTAGTCCTCCATGCCACCTATGTGGAGGAGAATATTCAGGAAGAGTTTGGATTTGGAAAGGCATCTTCTTTTCAGATCTCTACTGTTCACCTCGTAGAGAACAAGAGCTTTTCAAGGTGCTAAGATATGTGACATATGCTAATTTGGGGAGGGGAATTGCTTCCTGACAGAAGGGTGAACTCAGGACAGCTTTGTCAGAGGTGCATGTGTCTCCTCCCCATTGCTTTCTGGGGGCCTCTACTCTAGCAATGTTTTATAAATCTTCACACCTTGTAGATGCTGCATCACATTTCAGTGGCTTTCCATTGATCTTGGCCGTTTACCCGAGATTGATTATCTTAGAACCTCCTAAAACCAAGCTCAGCCTTGAGCTCTGCATAGTAAAGCCTCAGTGCTTCATCCCAGCATCGTTGGGCAGTTCTCCTCCTCCAGGGCTCATGGAGGGGAGCTACCTGGCTGTGATTGCTACATGCCCATGCCTGCAGAGCCATCATGTAAACCAGACCATGCATTCCCCAAGATCATCATGGCTGTCATTATTGCCCCATCTTTCAAATGGGGCAAGAATGATGGCCAGAGAAGATAGAGAAGGTCTTTCTCTCCTATAGTACCCTCACCACTCTCAGCAGCCCTCTCCCTTCCCAGAAGCTGAGGGAGATGAGAAGGCTAGCCTCTTTGAGACCACAGAAGATGGTGGGGCCTCTGCTACCTGGGAGGCCAGGCTGGTCTGGGAGCAGAGACCCTCAGTGCCAGGAGGCCTTGTTTTGCTCACCAACATCATGGGTGCTTATGCTCAAGGACTTTACCTTCTCCTTCTTTATTTCAGACAGAGGATCTCACTTAGGCTAATTTCCTTGGGGTCATCTTCAAGTGTTTCTTGATTTATTGGTGCTCTGTTTGTGTTAATGTTTATGTTATTTTTGATGTCAGGAGTTTAGGATTAGCTTAAATCAGAAAGGAAATCAAAACAAAACCCTCTCTACCTTCTCCCCTGTCTTAGGGGCTGTGTTTTTGTTTTTGATTTTTAATTCCCCGGAGGCAGAGAAGTGGTAGAATGTCAGGGAATTCACTCAGTTCCACTTGAATCAATAAGAAGCTGGTGAGAAAGTCCCTTCAGTGCTCTGTGGAGAGAACTGAGAGGATGTCAGGAAGCCAGTGGTGTAACCTCACAGAACAACCAGCAGTTGCCCAGGGCCTGTGCATACACACTGTCCTCCATGGCCATGGCTTGGTCACCAGCAGTCTTCCTCAGCCCCTCTTTCCACAAAACCCTTAAATTCCCAGGGTGCCGAGTTTCAGTTGTTTCCCAGCACCAAATCAATTGATGCTTTACCACAAGACAAAAGGATATCAGCATCTAGGGGCTGAGGAGCCAAGCTGGGACAGCCAGGTCAGAGCTCCCCCCACACACACACCAGATCATCTACCCCTTAGACAAGCGATCAGGTGAATGTGCAGAGGCGGGCACTTCACCTGATACTTCTGAATCCCAGTCCCTACCCCAGCCACCCTGACAGTGTCAACTGGCCTTACTGACCAAGACTCCACATGCTCAGAATGTGAACGACTGACCTGATAGTGCTGAACAACCCCGCTTCCAAGGCTTCTGTCTTCTGAGCTTTATGAACTCATCCTAACATCGTTGCTCTGAAACTCATCAGCCCATTTTGATTTTGGCAAAGCCATCATGACACTCTCGTTCCACTTTGCACAGAGGACAGTGAAGCTCTGTGATTACAACAATGATGTCTGTTTCATAGACAATACTCTGTACTGTTACTCAAGTACTGTACCTTTGTAGTTTCACAGATATATTACTAACTGCAGAGTCTCACAACTTATGGTGCTATTTTTATTGGTGCAAAAGAAACCCTCTTGGTTGCCCATGGCTTGATAGTCTCAGAATGCAGGGAAAGATCCTCAATGGCAATAATATTGTTCCTTTCATTTGTTTCAGAGTCAAATGTATATATTTTCCATTAGTTACCATACACTATGTACTGTACCCATGGTATTTTTATTTTACTTTTTGGTGCTGGTTTTGAAAGGAAAAAAAGAATAAAAAAGAACAGAAGACAAATATTGGAAACCATTGTAAATGAAAAATTAATCATTTCATTGGAAGCAAGTTGAATATGTTCAATAAAATGTTTTTCCATAACAGTTTTAAGATGATCTGTGAAGTGCAAGACAAAAAACAGTCCTCATGGACTAACAGAAGGAGGCTGTGTCCTTCTCTGCATTGGTCAGTTAACTGGCCTGGAACTCAACCGGGACAAGCCACAGCCTGCCAGCCACAGTTTTGGTAGACGTCAGAGATCACTGGTAAATGCAATTCTGGCAGCGGCTGGTCTCCCAACAAATCATTCTGTCCTGGGGCTCATCTTTGTGCTGTTGTAAAATCCTGGGCAGACACATGACAGTCTGGAAGCTGCACCAAGTCTGTGTGTCTGATGTGGCTGGAGCAGCAGCGACCTCACTGACTGCCTCCATGGGGAGCCGTGACCCCTCTGCAGGCAGCCCCTTGAACAGTTCTCGGGCTCAGTCATGGGCACCTGCCTCCTACAACTTTGGCCTCCAATATTTAGCCCTCACTACCCCCTACCCATTTACTGTCAGCCCCAATAGCTTTCTACAGGGGCTGTGAGCAGAAGTCGTGGACCTCCCTACCTCCCAGGACCAAAGACATGCAAGGGTACCACATCATTTGGACCTGATCTGGGCCCAACACAAAGCAGGAGTATCACAGCTCCTGAGAGGGTGGGAAATTCATCTCCTTAGGGCATCAAGGAGAAGGAGTTCCTTGCCCTAGAATTTGAAACCCCTCTTAATGATGGAGCCAAACCAGTTGCCACTGAGTCAACTCCAATTTATGATGATCCCATGTTGTCTCAAAGTAGAACTCTGCTCCATAGGATTTTCAATGGCTGGTTTTTCAGCAGTTGATCTCTAGGCCTTTCTTCCAGTGTGCCACTGGGTAGACTCACACGTCCAACCTTTTCATTAGCATCCAAATGTGTTAACTGTTTGCACCACTCAGGAATTCCAATGTTGGAGCAGCACCCAGAAATTTCACTAGATAAAGACCATTTGTTTATCAGACACCAGACAGCCCATAGCTCACAGGTTGCCAAGGAACCAAAGCTTCTATTAATTCTCAGGAACAATCACCCACCTGCCCCCAGATAGCTGTTAGAACCTTCTCCTCCTTCCTATGTGTTCTGATCATTTTGGTGTGTTAACTTTTTAACAGCCTTCAACCAAAACCCACCACCACCAAGTCAATTCCATCTCATGGTGACCTAGAGGGCAGAGTAGAACTGCCCCCATAGGATTTCCAAGGCTATAAATCTTTACAGAAGCAGACTGGCTTGTCTTTCTTCTGCAGAGTAGCTGGTGGGTTTGAATCACCAACCTTTTGGTTAGCAACTTAATGCTTTAAGCACTACACCACCAGAGCTCCTTAACAGCCCTGTTGGCATGTAATTTCTTTCAAGCTTTTTGAATTCCTAGATGGCCCTCACCAATTCCAGTTTATTCAATTAAATTGACAAGCTCTCAATCAATAAATGTTGAGTGAGTTTCAGTTAGGAGCCCAGAACTTCCTAGATGTGCTAGGAAGATCAGATGCGGTCAGGATCCCAGGCCCAGCTGTGCAGACAAGTCTGTGGAGCAGATGGTGGAGAAGGAGTAAGAGCCACAGGAACTAAGAAGGGAAAGGGCAGGGGCTAACTTTGTGGACATGTTAATTGGCATTCCTGGACTCAGGCTGGAAGGTTTGAGTTTGGAATCCCTCACAGTGGCACTCTCAGAAAAAGGGTTTTTAGCAAAAGCTCTTATGTTCCTACTTCCTGACACACATCTGCCTCCATGTGGGTCCCTCTTCCTTGCCTGACTTCCTGTACAGCAGAGGTGGTGTTCCAACCCCACATCTTCAATTACTCCCCCATCAGTGGTCTGCACTTTTATCTCCAGTTCTGAACATTCATTTACTCTCCAGGCTACTCCCCTGGCTTTTGCCCCCTGCCCTGCACTGTTTATTATTATTATTATTATTATTATTACTATTACTATTTATTACTATTATTGTTTAATTTTATCCTCTTGTTGATGAGAATATCTACACAGCAAAACATACACCAATTCAACTGTTTTTACATATACTATTCAATGACATTGATTACATTCTTTGAGTTGTGCAACGACTCTCACCCTCCTTTTCTGAGTTGTTCTTCCCCTATTAACAAAAATTCACTGTCCCTTAACTTTCTAATCTAATCTTTCAAGTTACTGTTGTCACTTTGATCCCATA